TATTTAAAACTGACAAGAAAAAAACTGAAAAAAAAAAAAAAAAAAAAAAAAACCAAAAAACAGACTATGGGGGGATTGACAATATTGGGAATCAAAGTGCAATGTATCTGGGTGCTGTGTTAAATAAACCTCATCAAGGAGGGGTGTTTGAGCAGATGAGGAAATTAGCCATTTGAGAAACAAGGCTTTCAGGCAGAGGGAACAGTCAGGGTGAAGGCATGTTTGTGATACAAGAGGTTGGGTAGAGTGAGCAAGGCCCAAGAGGAATAAGAGATATGATGGGGAAGGGGGTGGATAGGATTAGATCATGTGGAGGCTTGTAGATTCTCATGAAGACTAGTTTTTATACTAGCATCCCCGCAAGAAGTTTCACACTCTGAGAAGAGGATTATCATTTTCTGACTTGTGTTTTACAAGGATCTCAGTATCTGTTGTTTTGAGGATAGATGGGGGAGAGGGCAGGGCAAGGCAAGCACGGAAGTGATGAAACCAGTTAGAAGGCCATTGCAGCAATCCAGGTGACAGATGATGGTGGCTCAGACCTAGATGGTGGTAGTGGTGAGAAGTGGTCAGATTCATGACATACTTTTAAGTTAGAGTCAGTGGGATTTTCTAATGGATTGGGGTGAACCTTCTCTAAAAGCTTTTGAATTGGTACTACATTTAATTTTTTTGACATGTGAGTATAGTTTTAGCGAAAGCTTGTATAGATTTTAAAATTATTTCAAAATCAGTTATGAGATTTCATGTGATGATAAACTACTATACATTTAATTTTTTATAATAGAGAAAGGCTGTATCTTCAATAGTCTTATCCATAAGGTAGCATCCAAATATTCACCTTCCTGTGACTATTTTAAAATGCCTGAAGTGTTTAAAAATATGCATCGGTGACAATAGCAAATTGATTTTATTTAGTATAAAATCTATAAACTATTAAGAAATGAAAAATAAAACTAGGAACATTTTGTAAAACATCAGATTCCAGATACTGGGATTGAACTCAGTATGCCCAATGAGGGTACTGAAAATACTAGATTCAGCTCCAAATTCTGCCCTGACCATTTAATTTAGGTCATCTCTTTTACATCTTCACGTAAGAGAAGTTATTTCTTATATCAAATTCTTTTTTCTAGAAGGAGGAAGTGCTAAAATCAAAACCCGAGTTTCTACTTCAGTTACTCTTCCACTTAAACTTTATGGGGCACTTCAGTTCCTTTGCAGTGGTCATTGTTTGGTACAAGAATAGGAAAAACTTTTCTACTCTCAGAGCCCTGTAGAATTTTTCAAAAATAGAGGTTTGAAGAGGTAAAGTTGTTTATTCTCCTTGGCCCTCTCTCCTCTTTTTTTTCAATATGTCCCCTGCCCCCACCTTTATATGTATTGGAAAACAGTTACTAGGTGTAACCATTCCGTTACTCTTTGGAACCATTTGTGTATGTTTCTTCGTGTTTACTTAGATTTTATTTTGCCATTCTATCACTGATGGTTTTAATAATGGTCAAGTCTTAAGACTTCAGTATGTGGTACTTCGAGCTTTTAGTGTTGGAATGATTAGAAGAACAGAAACAAAAATAAGGACTGGGGAACTAACAAGTAGGCACAAATTCAAGGAATTCATTACTAGCTAGCTAAAATCTTCAAGAAGTTGGCTATGGAAGTAGATGAAGTGATTATTATGGCAACTGCTTGTTACATTACTGCTTGCTTTGTCAAATTACTTAGCGAATGGGGTAGTTAATTATCTTGCAAGCTATTTGAAATGCTTGAAAATAAGCCCTTTGTAATTAGCTAACAGTACCCATTTGTTCACTTTGTTATGTTAAAACTTGTAGTTTAGAGTTTAAAAAATTACTTTGGACATATACCACAGTAAAAATAAATCCGATGGTTATGAATATATTTTTGTTGTATCAAGACCTAGGACTGTAAGCATTTTTTATTGTGTTTGGCAAATGCATCAGGCCATCTAGTAGTTTCATTTTTTTCTCGATGTCCTCACTCACTTTGTGTGAATCCAGGTGTGATACCAGACAAGATATCAAGTCTGAAGATATTCACTTAACTTTAGACTCTTAACTTGATTAAATAAACACATTTGTGACGTGACCTGAGCACTGTGTTGGTCCAAGATAAGTCAATATTTTTCGCTTGTAAGTCAACTGTTTTTATTCTTAAGTTGGGTTTTGTCAATTTTTATTTGTTAATTATTACAAATGATATTGTAACATTTCCAATGGTAAAGTTTTCAATTGTAATATTTCGAGTTTGAGAAACAATTTAATTAGAATTTTTGGGCATGTAATCATTTTGTTATTTTGGGCTAAATCTAGATTTATGTTCATGTGCAATACTTTTTTTCAGTTGCCTTAACATATTACTTATATTGCATATGTAAGAGAAGATGACACTATGACTTTTTAAAAGAATGTATTTTCTGTTGTTAGCTTTTTAGTTGGAGAAGGAGCCTACAGATGGGCAGTAGATCATGGAATACCCCCTTGCCCTCCTAACATCATGACTACAAGTAAGTAAAAACTTAAAAAAAATTAAACTGTGTGAGTATGTATACCTGAAAGTGTTAAGTTGCTTTTCTTATGACCCAAGTAGTACAGAAGTCTTAAGGAAGAAAGTATATATGTTGAAATATGTATATTTAAAAGATACATGAAAAGCTGTTTGATTTTAGCCACCTTATATTCTTGAGGTGCCTGCAGCCCCATTATTTTCTCAAGTTTTTATAAAAGTGTTACAAAGAATTTCCTTTTAGGTTACTTAAAATAATTACTGATAAAACCATAACACCACTTCCCAAAGAAAGAGACAGAGAAAACAGGTTAATATTTAACTGTCCTTGAGCTGAGGAAAGGCTTTTCGAAGTACAAGTGTAAAGGAAGGAAAAACAAAGGTATGACTACATAAGAGTTAAAACTGAGAAACGGTTGTCACAATATGACCAAGGGATATATATCCTTAATCTACGAAGAGGTTTACCAAATTAAAGAAACACGCAAATACAGGTAATACCCTCATAGAAAAATGTGCAAAAGTCATAAATAGACAGTGTAATGTAACTAATAGAGAATTTCAAGTTAAAATGAGTACATGTTAAATTTTTTCCTTCTCAGTTTGTGAAAGAGCTAAAAAATATTACTGCCGTTAAGTGTGTGGTGAAAAGAACATAATACATTGAAGACACAATTGTAAGTTGACAGTGATAAAAAATTTTTGTAGATGGGTGCTCAGTGAGCATTATTAAGAAAATAAAAAAATTGGGGGGAAAAAAAAAACTGTGTCCAACACAGAAGTGGGTAAATAAATTATATTCTTTAAATGAAACTTTCTAAATCAACTGGAACTTGTTATGAGGACTAACACCTGTTAAAGGTTAAATCTAATAATGAT